TCTAATTGGTAGTTTCAAAAATGACATGGATTAAAAATGTGTGTGTGTATGAATATATATATATTTTAGTAATAAATAATGTATAAATATGTTATATGTATTATTTTATATTTAATTTATGTTTTTTAATTTGTTTATTTATAAAAAAACATTAGAATTTGCAATTTGAGGCCAAAAAATGGTTTTTTTTTTGTGAAAATAGCGGGGCAAAGTGCCTATGGCTCCTTGGGACGCATAGATCTCAAAAAAGTTACAAAAAAAAAAAAAAATCACTCCAATCGAACATCGGAGTGTAAAGTTATGGCCTTCAAAAGTTTGTATGCATTGAATATGCAACCCACGACCCGATCATTAGGTCGAACAAGTCAACAGTCAAACCGGCCAGATCGAACAATTCTTGACCAATTCAACAATTTTTGACCGTTTAGCAAATTTTGACTGAACCAGCGGGTTGAAAACATTTGTTAGAAGGAATACCAGTTATATGGGTTAATCAAGGTGGAGCAAGATAAACTGGGGCAGAAGCATGCCCTTTCTGTGGCTATAGTGTAACACCTATTATTCCCTTTGGACCGAGAAACAGTTCACGCTTACTTGGTTGCCCATCTTGGGGAAGCTGGATCCTTATAATCCATCATCTAAAACTCTGCGGGTGACTCTTGTACCCATGATCCTCACTGAAAAACTAAGAGGCCTTTGCTCTATTACATACCCAAAAGAAGTGGCCTTTTCAAGGTTCACTCCAAGTTCTAATGCTATGGGTCATAAGTCGTCTCCCTTTCTCGTTCATCCTAAGAGAAGTGGACTTTTTCCCCAGCCTAGGTTTCGAGTGGTGGATATCATGTACATCTGTCCTTGACAACAAAGAAAGACTTCAAAACACAGGTATAGAAGATGAGATCGATTGGAAGCTACAGATACGGTTGCAGGAAGTGTGCTCGTCTACAATTACTTTCAGAACACAGGTATAGAATGGTTTTAGCAGGAACCTATGGTTCAACTCCATCATTGTTTAAAAAAAATCATTAATCTTAAATATAGTTTTATTAATTTAACAATACTATGAACCTCCCCCAAAAACCTTTATATTGTTTTAAAAAAAAAAGATGTAAATACCTTCCTTCCATTAACATTCAAATAAAAAATGTTGATGTAATACATTATTTTTTTAATATCAAATTTGCATTTAACCAACTTCATTCAGATGTAAATTTACTAAAATACATTGGAAAAAATTGCTTCCTTTTACTTCACTTCAGCCTTTTTACCTTACTTTGTCGAAGAAAAGTATAGAAATTTACTTGTTGAAAGTTGTTAGGCAAAATAAATTAGTAAGGGTAAAGTTTAAACCAAGGTTTTAAAAACTGACCGGACATCGAACCGGCCACCGGTTTTTGGGTCAGTAGTTTGACCATCTAAGTCAAACGGATCAAAACAGTCAAGGTAACTTTTGCATCTTGGCCATTGAATTGGTATATTAGGCCAGTTTAGGAAGAAATATAAATAAAATGAGGTATGTCGGCTGGGAAAGGAAAGAAATAAGAGAAAGGGAAGGGAAGAAAGAAAAGAAAAGAAAAGAAAGAAGAAAGGAAGAAGGAGGAGGAGGAGGAGGTGGTGGTGGTAGTGGTGGTGGTGGTGGTGGTTCACCCACAATGATAACAATAGCGGTTGCGACGATGATGATGGTAGTAGACAATAGTGGCAAGCCAACGGAAGCATATCCGACCTCAAATCTCATATCAAATCTACCATATCTGAGATCTGCCAGATCTCTCTCTCTCTCTCTTTCTCATCTCAGTGATCTCAAATCTGAGATTTGAAAACTGATATCTCTATCTTAAATGTGAGATCTCCTCTATTTACACTTTTAAATAAAATCATGACACTGCCCGGGTCGAACAGTTTAGCAGTTCGACCGCCTGGATTAGTGGTTCTTTGACCATTTTAACGGTTTCTTTGAAAATTAACAGTCCAAAGTAAAATCGGACCCAAAGACATGACCGATTCCCAGTTTGAATGGTTCAACCATCCGGTCTAGTCTGGTCAGGTTTTGAAAACCATGATTAAAACTTTAAATTTAGTATAGTAATGCCTTAACAATGATAAAGATATTTCTATAACTTTAATGTCTTTGTTACTGAAAAGCTAACGGGAAGGAGGTGTTTGCATTTTTTTTTTCAAAATTATAGGGAACAAAACACAAGGATGGTTTATACAATTACTATAAGATGAGCTTTTTGTATAATTTTACATAAAAATAATAAAAAAATATTACAAAGCAATAAAATTTAAAAATTAATAAAAAAACTTAGCATTAAAATACAAATATATATATATATATATATATTATAAAATTATCTAGAATATAGGAAATTAGCCACTCTCACTAAATTCAGGGGTGGAGCTAGGGGGGACCAGGGGAGCCATGGCCCCCCTATGGTCCAAAAATTTGCACAGTCAATACATTTTTTTATGTAAGTTTGTTTCCTCCCCTCACTTTTCACCCAATGGTTGACCCCCTCTATGGCCCATCCATAAGTTTTGGCCCCCTCATAAAAAATTCCTAGCTCCGCCCTTGACTAAATTACAACTTAAATTGTGATCAATAAACTAAAAATGACCAAAAAAAATTTCTTGAATTGAACTTACATCAGTATTGTTTAATTGGAAATGTACAGAACTTCTTCCACAACTTTTTTAATAAAACGTCCCGACTAATTAGTTAGAAGAGAAATAATTAATTCTCTCCATAAATTTGCTTTACAATCTTTGTCTTTGAAATAAATATCACGTTTAATATTATTATGAATAGAAGCTTTGAAATGAGCTGAAAAAGGTTCCAAAGTTGGGCATTTCCCCTTCAAGTTTTAACTGGGATTCAATGCTTAAAATTTCAAAAATAAGCAAAGAATCTACCCCATGCATCCATATACCCTGCACATGGAGGCTTATAAAGTTATGCCTTTCTTTGCTCAATGAATGACTTGGTCTAGCTGGTGGCAACGCTTTGTCGGTGAAAAATCTTTGCTTTAGTTGTTTGGGGCTTTTGATTTTTTTTCCTGTTTTTTGGTGTAAAATAAATTACTTTTTTGTACTAATAATAGTATAATAATAGATGTATTCTGCGCCCATCCCATATTTATATCCATCTCTCTCTCACCAAAATTTAATTTCCCTGGCGTGTCCAACAGATCCCCACCACAACGCGGTTTTCGAGTTCTTTGAATTTGAAAAGGAGAAAAAAGAAATATAATTTGAAGTGAGGTGGGCTTTTTAAAACTCAGATCGTGCAGACAGGTTTGTGGCCTTGTGGCTGAGACCCACGTCTCTTGGGCAAAGACAACTGGATTCTTTACGTATTCCCACTTCCCAGAATAGCGAGAGAGAGAGAAAGAAGAAAACAAACCATTCGGCCACAGTGTACGAGAGAATTAATTATTAATTTCATTTATTTTTCCCAAGGAGGAGAAAAAAACTAAGGAAACCCCAAGAGACTATCATTTTTTTAGAGGGCCATCCACATGGCTGTCTGTCCTCTCTGATGCTCATAAAGGCATCACTCAGATCTGGATACTGTATCCCTCTCTCTCTTTTTCTCCACCCTGATTCTGAATTTCTGATTGTTTGTAAAACAAGTAAAATTGTAAGAAGTTTTCATGATCGGTGACCAATTGAAAGGCAGCACGTATATACTAGTTCATCATGGGCCGCCTGGGGTTGGGTCCTTGGTGGGGCCACGTCCCAGAAGCTCCCCATCCATGCCCATCCAACACCTTCATTATGGTGGGCCAGCACACACTCCTATTCAGTATTCACCATACTTGTTAATCATTTCATCTCTTATTTAAGATTTAGGGTGATTTGCTTATTGCTGAAATCTCCCTATAGTTTATAACAGTTGCTGAAACCTCATATTCTGATACAGTTGCAAGTCTTATCTCTTATAATCTTCTTAAATAAACAAAATTGTTCAAAATATCTATGTAATTACGTTTTTATAGAAAAAACTAATGTTTTTGAACCATTTGTTGAATCAGTAATCGGTTCTGTTTTATCCTAAATCAGGTCATTTGTCAAAAATCGTTGAATTGGTCAATGATTCATTAGCCCGGGTGATCAAATAGTCGATCCATTTAATCTCTTCAATTCAATGGTTTTGATTATTTTTTAATTTTTAATTTTTTTCATTGGAATGGGCCGTTTCAAACCGAACAAGTAAACCATTGACCCAAAAACCAGTGGTCATAACAATTTTAATTCCGGGTCAGTTTTTAAAACCTTGAAAAAAAACAATGAAAAATTTATAAACAACAAAAAATAGAAAATTTAAAATTGCATATTTACATTTCAGCAATGATATGGAAGGTAAATTCAAACAATTTCAGAAAAGGGATTGGAAGGATTTAGACTAATATTTTATATAAAGAAAAAATTTAGAATAATAAACATTTTAATCAAAAGTAATATAAGTATTTTGAATGTATTTTTTAGAAGAGGTTTAAAAAATTAAAGGGAGTTGATTGCAATTACCAAAATTCAAAAGACATTTTCAGCAGTTTTACCCTGAGATTTAAGATTTAAGATTACCCATGGTCAATCATGAATTCAAAGACAGAATATTAAAATAAGTGATTATGGATTCTCATCAGGATTCCCGATCCAAGAAAGTAACCTACCTCTCTCTCTCTTTCTTTCAGTTTCTCCCCACCAGATCAAGAACTTCACATGAATGAAGTTTCAAAGTGACACGATCAAAACTTTATTGTCTTTTAGCTTGGGTTTACCACCGTAAAGAAAAGAATGGCCAATACGCAGGCAGTGTCAGCCTGTCTGTCACACACGTACTTACGCGGAATGCACAAGTGGTGCTAAATAAAACCACCCATACTTAATCTTCTCCTCAGTACTTAATTTTAAACGAGACTAGTTAAGAGTAGTTAAGAGTTAGTGACCATCAAGTACCAACAGCTCAGCCAACGGGCCAGAGATACTCCATTTCAATTTTTAGTATCAGAAGAATTCAATACAGTAATTAATAAGATTATACAAATTGAGGTTTAAGGGGAAGTGGTCTTTGGTCTTTGGCCATCGGATCGGCCAACCATCTGCACACTGCAGCGTTGCGTTATGTATCTGGGCATCTCCATGTGACTGACGACTCTCTACCCTGCGCCATTCCTCCTCATCTCCCATCTCCCACCTCCCACCTCCCACCGCCCCTCGCCATGCCTTCTCCTTCTCCTCCTCCCCCTCTTCTTCTTCTTCTGCTACTCCACTGTCTTCTCTTCCTCTCCTCAGCCTCTCGTGAGGGTTCCAACTTCATCGACGAAAATGGGGACTCGCTAACCATCAACCCACGCTCTCTGCGCTTCGCAAACCCAAGGCTCCGCCAGGCCTACATTGCGCTGCAGACATGGAAGACGGCCATCTTCTCCGACCCTTTCAACTTCACTGCTAACTGGAATGGCCCCAACGTCTGCTCCTACAGTGGCGTTTACTGTTCTCCTTCCCTCTTCAACTCCTCCGTCACGGTAGTCTCCGGCATCGATCTCAACCACGCTGACATTGCTGGGTATCTCCCACCCGAGCTTGGCCTCTTGACGGATCTGGCTCTTTTCCACCTCAACTCCAACCGTTTCTGCGGCATCGTCCCACGTACCTTCCGCCGTCTCAAGTTGCTCTACGAGCTCGACCTCAGCAACAACCGGTTCGTCGGCCGGTTCCCCGACGTCGTCCTGTCCCTCCCTTCGCTCAAATACTTGGATCTTCGCTTCAATGACTTCGAGGGCTCCATCCCTTCCGGTCTTTTTGACAAGGACCTCGATGCCATCTTCCTTAATGACAACCGCTTCCGATTCGGCATTCCGGACAACCTCGGAAACTCCCCCGTCTCCGTCATCGTGCTGGCCAACAACAACCTCGGCGGTTGCATCCCCAGCAGCATTGGCAAGATGGGTCACACCCTGAACGAGATCATTCTCATGAATGACAACCTCACCGGCTGTCTGCCCTCCGAGATCGGCCTGCTTAAGGATGTCACCGTGTTCGACATCAGCTTCAACCATATCCAAGGCCCGCTTCCGCCCGCCATTGGCCGGATGAAGAGCTTGGAGCAACTCGACGTGGCTCACAATATGTTTACTGGGGTTGTACCGGCGGTGGTGTGTCAGCTGCCGAGATTGGAGAACTTTACGTACTCGTTTAACTACTTCACCGGTGAAGCACCGAAGTGTGCTGCGCTCATCTCTGGCGGTGCAGGAAGGGTTCTGTTGGATGACCGGAAGAACTGCATTCCCGGTAAACCAGATCAGCGATCTTCGAGGGAGTGTTCTTCCCAGGCTGCACAGCCCGTCGACTGCAGCAAGTTCAAATGTGGCAGCAAGGGTGGTGCTGCTCCTTTCCCTGCACCGGGAGCAATGACGCCCGTGCCGCACCCCCCACCGCCGAGTTCGGCCCATTCGCCCAGATCCTTCAAGCCTCCTCCGCCACAGTCAACCGTGCCGAAAGGAGCACCACCGAAGACAAAGCGGCCTATTATACTACAACCTCCATCTCCACATCCAGCTAACCAGACTAACCAGACGCCTCCTGTTAGACATTACCCACCGTCACCGCCAACTTCGGGTTCATCGCCGTCGACGAGATCACATCCACCACCGCCACCAGTAGGCCATTTTCCAGCACCACCAACTCCGTCAAGCTCTTACTTTTCGCCGCCTTCACCTCCACTTCCACCGCCATCTGGCTCGTACTATCCCCATCCTTCACCAGTGTCGCCACCACCACCACCTACTAAACATGTATCGCCAAAGACGCATCTTCCACCGCCACCACCTATAGAGTATGTGCCTTCACAACCTCCTTATTCACCAGCGCCCCCTGTTGCATCCCGACCTCCATCACCTTCTCATGTTTACACCTCGCCTTCACCACCGCCCCCTCCACCGTCCCATCATTATAGTTATCCATCACCACCACCTCCTCCGCCAACCTATCAGTATAGTTACTCATCACCACCACCACCAACCCATCAATATCCTTACGCATCACCACCACCACCAAATCATCATTCTGGTTACGCCTCACCTCCTCATCTTCCTTCTCCCCCAACCCATCACCTTTATACACCACCATCGCCACCTCCACCACATATTAGAGTGCCGCCACCAACCCATCATTATACAACTCCTCCACCCCCAGAAGAATTCTACCCACCTCCAACCAGTGCTCCTCCACCACAAGCTTCAATCTCTCCCTCACCTCCATCTGGGTGCATCATAGAATCACCTCCTCCGCCACCAAGTCATGCTGTCTACCACCAGTTGCCTCCACCACCTCCCCCAACACAACATTGGCAGCATCCCCCACCATCGCACCCTCAAAGCAATCCACCACCACCAAATCACTACACCCATTCATCTCCTCCACCTCCGACATTACCACTGCCTTCACCACCACCACATTTTGACAATACACCCCTCCCACCTGTTACAGGGGTATCCTACGCATCTCCTCCACCCCCAGTAATTCCTTACTAGTAAATCGGGTTTCATTTTCAGCCCTTTACCCACCAAATCTACTTTTTTTCTATTTTTTTTATAATTTTGATGGAATATATATTTTTTGCTAATAATTTGATGAAATAGATTTATTGTTTTTCTGCAAAAGCAACCCAGCAAGAAACTGCATTTCAGCAAGGATCGGTGTTTTTCATTTTATTTTCTGAGTCCGGATTCCGGAATCCGTTCTTCTTGTTTGTTTAATGCAATGTTAATGTTGTGTTGTTCGATATAAAGTTATAAACTGTTAAAAATTAAAGGAATTATCTAAAATCTCGACAATATTTGCTTTAACCACAGACTACAGTAGTTGTCTCTATCTCAATGTTTCTCAGAATGCGACGAATCCTCTGTTGAAGCAGGTCACAGGTGTAGTCCTTAAGCTTCTCAATTCCAACAAACCCACGCTGAGTATACATATGTTAATCCCGTCAACTACTTGCAAAATAATAACTTGCTTTAAATCTCCCACGAAAAGGTATATGTGTGAGATTACAGATAGGTTTGACTGTAAATTTCGTTTTACTTTTCTTGCGCATATTGCCCCATTTTATATGACAGAAATGAGTTGAATTTAGGAAAGTGCATATTTTGCATCCGTTTTTTTTTTCTTATACATCAGTTTCTAAGAACATGACAGTGAATAATAAGCGCTTATTTTGGATTGGGACTACAATAATCACTTATTTGTGTTTGAGAAATAAGTTTGTTCTCACATTTGAAGCTCAAATTTTGGGCTTTTTTTTGCCTTTCTTAACCCATCATATCATTTTGAAAATATCTATATTATCTCTATTTAAAATGTGTTTTTTCTCTAAATCATCCTAATTTATTTTTAACTACTTATTTTTAAAATAATCACTCCCAAATTTATCCAAAGTACAATAATAATATAATATTGAAAGAACCTGACACCATAAAATGGGTTAGTAGGGATCGGTATTTGAAATTTATGGAATAAACTTAGAATCAATATTAGTTTAATAGTTTTAACGCTTATCAGCCGAACGTATTGGGAGTTTCCTGAGACATTCTTACGGAGTGTATCGGGGTTTTGACTGGTTAAGGGGTGGATGGATCCTAAATCGGTCTCTTTGAACCAGATTTGAAAAAAAAAGTAAAAAAATAAAAATAAAAAAAATTATCGATACTGCCTGATATGCCTAATTTGAAATTTGCTTAAAATCAGAATTTTTTCTTTTTCTTTTTTTTTTTTTTGAGGGGGAGTGATTGAAAAGCTAATACATCAAACAATGATACTTCTTCTCTTACTATCACTAAATATTTAGTGATAGTAAGAGAAGAAGAAAAAGCACTTGTCATGCAAACCATGAGTTAGAGTGCTCCTAAGTAGATCTGTTCGTAGATCGTCCAAAATTCGAAATGGGCCTAGCTTGAACCCTAATCCCAAAAATAGTGTAAGTTTGAATCCAAAGCCCAGTCCATGAATAGATTTACTCTTAAAATACCAAATCTCTTCATGGCCACCCAATGCTTTGAGGTGGGAGAGTGGAGGAATTAACAAACTTTAATGGTAAAGGTAACATTGTGCCTAGTTAAAATGATATATTATGAGGAGGGATCAATTAAAAGGAGGGGTGAAAAATAGTTTATATCATTCTAAGCCAAGGTTCAAAATTTTAATAAGATATGCCGGATATGAGGTGCATTATATTATATCTTTTAGGTGTAGATACACCTATTTAAAGGGCTTTTGGAAGAAATCTATTCATAAGAAGAGGCAAAAACTCAAATTTTGGAAAAGCAAAAAAGCTAAGAAAAATCAAAAACCGCAAGGTGCAAAGTCTCAATACAGACCTTTTGCTGTATCGGGGTGTATCGAATTTTTGAACTTTGTTTCAAGCCAACACATTAAACTGGATCTATAATGTAGTGTTCTTGAGAGAGAAACAAGAAAGAAAAAAAATCATAAGTTCCTAGTTATCTTGATCCTTAGGAAGAAACTTGAAAGGCCCAATAGGGTTGTCAGTGTGTCAGTTCTACCCCGACCGATCAAACTAAACTGAACTGATTATATTGGTTCTGGTTCTTGCCTGTTCTGAATTGATTCAAACCCGAACAGATTATTTTATTAATAATTTATAAAGGTGTTTTTAGTTTTTTTTTTGTAATTTGTATTATATATTAATAATATATAAGATAATTTTAGTTAAAAACACTTGATTTATTAACATATAAATAATTTTAATTTACTGTCATTTTTATTAAGGTTATATTATCAAAAATCAACATGTAAGTTGCTACTTATACAAATAAGTATAAATGTCAATATAACGGGACTATCGGGTCAGACCCGATTACAGGACAACTTTGGTCCTTTGGATCTATCATTTTGTCCCAATTAATAATCAGGATGGGACGGGGGCACTCTATTCCGACCCAGAATCGATCCATTGACAGCCCTAAGGGCTCCATTTTAAAGGAATATAAATACAAATATATATAGAGCACAAAAATCTTATATTTTGTATTATTTTGTATGGATATGTATTGTATGTATTTGTATTTATACTCCTTTTAAACTAAGCCTAAGGTTCAAATTAGAGGTGCAATTCAGATTGGCCCAAATTCACATTTTAGTCTATTTTGGGCTGAGGCCCGCCGATATTGTAACCCTAGTCCAAATTCTTAGAAAAGGGGAATTACAAATTCTTGATCACGTGATCAATGCCTGACATATTACTCCCTATAACAATAATGTGATCACTGACTTATATATTACGCCATTTTACAACAATACCATTGACAAATACCGAAAGGAACAACAAATCTTGGTCTCTTGAGAAAATAAATAGAAAAGCTCTCGGTGTTGGACAAAAAAAATCCAGTATTCAATAGCTAAGGGAATAATTTGAAAAGCATGGCCCATTGAGCATATTTAAGCCCATATTATCAATTTTAACGCATGATGAGGATCAATGAAGTCTGGGGGTTGGGCCATGTAATGTCTTCTTAAACAACACTAAGCAAGTAAAAATGTCCATCAGGCTCAGTTTTGAAGGAGTATAAATATATATTTGTAGAGTGTAAAATCTTATATTTTATATTATTTTGTATATATTTGTATTGTATACATTTGTATTTATACTTTCAAATTAAGCCTCAAGTTGTCTAATGTGTAAGACATCAAGACTACAAGAACAATTCTTATTAGGAATGGCAGCGGGGTGGGGTACCCCTCTCCATCCCCACCCCATCCCCGATGGTGGGGTAGGTTCATGGTGGGGCACTCATTCCTCATCAGGGACGGGAAATCCCCAAATTTTCAATGCCCTGAAGTAATCACCTAAAAATAATTTATTTTGTGGATATTTTACAAATAGGATTATGTGAATTTGGGGGTATTTTAGGAATTAAATTATGACAATTGGGGGATACTTTAAAAATGGAATTATGAGATCTTAGGATTTTAAAAATTCAGGGAAAACTTAAAGATATTTTATAAATAATTATTAAATCTAGGGATGTTTTACTAATTTATTCTCGAGTTTAGGGAATTATGTGCAAACCCCGTCTCCGCCCCATCCTCGGCTCAGGGAAAAATATTTTTCCTGTCCCTGTCCCATTCCCTTTTAAGATCGGGGAAAACCTGTCCCTAAATGGGGTGGGGTGGGGCAGGGGCCCCGATTTTATGGGAAAATTTGCCATCCCTAGTTCTTATGGTGGTCAGTTTTATTACTAAACTAAGGTGGTGTTTGGCACGTTTTTTCGATGTCTTTTTGGTCTACAAAAAGCTCAAAAGATCAAAAAATGTTTTTTTTTTCATTTGGTATCGCGTAAACCAAAAGACACAAAGACGATCGTGCGAAAAGATTGAAAAAGACAAAAATCAAGAAGCTTCAAATAAAACTTTTGGTCTTTCTGTGCTAAAAATAGCCTTGATAGTTGTTTTAAACAGTCTGATAAACCATGACATGAACCAAACAGACTAAATCATTAAAGATAAGATAGATTTTAGATAGATATAGATATTTAAATCATTATAATGTTTAAATAATTCTTAAACTTTTTAATTCAAACTTTATTTAGATAGATATAGATGAAAAATGAGGAAGAGGATAAATAGGAATTAGAGATAATTTAGGAGAAAGTGGGGGGATAGTGGTGCCACTTAACTAGATTAGATTAAATTTTGGCAAAGAGAGATTTTAGTAATATTTTTAGGAGGGGATATCCAAAGGGGTAAACATAGAGGAAATAGGGCTGCTCACTTGGTATAATGGGAGTGGTTGGAAGGGGAAAGGAGAGAGAGTCAAGGAGAAAGTAGGAAGGGGACTTTGGAGGAAGGAGAAGGCTGCCGACATAGACCGCCTTGCTTTATATGTATATAGAATAGATAGGTTTAACTATATTATTGGGAAAACTTATAGCCAATTAACTGGTATCATAAAAGAGGTGACCAATTGGTGGTATTCATAAAAATTCATGAGGGGTGTTTTGATTGGTCAAAGTTTTTCTAGTATCATGTCTTTCAAGATTTTCTCATTTATAAAACACTAGTTTTGAAGATTATTCTATTTTAAACAAATAAAAGTTTTTTCATTTCACTTTTTAGCTTGATAATTGAAGATAACTTAATGGTTTAAGGTGCATCTAGCATTGTGGTTATAGTTGATTTGGGTTTGAATCGTGTCATCCCCCATTTTTAGTAGAGATAGTCACACTAATATGTATCATGTGTTGTCAAAAAATTTCTCAAGGGATAGTAACCACATTATCAAATAAGTAGCAGTTTGAACCACATTATCCCAAGAACGAAGGGGAAGAGAGGTGGTAACTACTATAGAGAGCATTTTTTTCTATCAAATGCCTATGTTTGGATTCAACCAATCCCATTTTGGTGATGGGTGTTTAGAAAATTTCCTAAATTCACTATGTTAATCACTTTGAAATTTTGAGAACAAATCTATACTACTATTAAAAGTGTGAATGAGAGTGTAGAATTTTTGTTTAACTAAAATACCCCAATTTTTTAATTTAATCATTCTCTAATTGTAAGGATAGAAGTGTAATTTGAACAACCACTCCACTTTCTCCTTATTCAAATCCCTCTCATTAAATCTTATATATAAAATATTAATTTCCATTATCATTCATTGAATCCTACTCTTGACTAAAATACCCTTATTTATTAATTTTGTTCATCTCTAATTGTGAGGGCACAAAATATAATTTCAAGTACTACATTTCTTCCCATTCAATTCCCTTTATTAATTAAGTCTTATATTTAGGGTATTAACTC